CCATTGATTCCATTGTACATAATACCATAGCTTTTTAATTCAATTATCTGCCAATCAACAGTTTGGTTTCTTCCATATCTTGGCAATTGTAAATAATGTGAAACTACTTTTTAAATTAAATTTTCATTTCCAATTTTCTTCGCTAGTACACACTAATACAGTTATTTTTGCACATTCAACTTGCATCTTGTGACCTTTCTAAACTTATTTTCACAGGAGATATTTTGTAGTTAGTTTTAGATTTTATATAAAGACAATTATGTCATCTGCACACTGTTTTTTATTTTCCTTTCCAGTCCCTAAGACTTTTATTTTTATTGGCCTTGCTTGCTTTAAAGCACTGGCTAGGATTTCCAGTCCAGTATCAATTATGAGTAGTGAGAGAAGACAAGAGAATACCTTGCTTCATTTCTGATTTTAGGGGGAAAGCATTCAATCTTTTACAATACTGAATATTTGTAGGATTTTTTTAGATACTCTTATTTACAATACTGAATATTTGTAGGATTTTTTAGATACTCTTATTGTATTAAGGAAACTTCTGTCTACTTCTAGTTTGCTGAGTCAAGTTCTTTCTCAGCATATTTTGACATCATTATATGTTTCTTTCACCCTAATGTGTTAATATGGTGAATTACAATGCTTAAAATTATTTTAATTTAATCTTTATTGTATTTTTTCCATTATGGTTTAGTTCCCTTCCAGGGGTGTCCAACTTTTTGGCATCTCTGGGCCAAACTAGAAGAGAAAGTTGTCTTAGACATTGTCTTGTGTATTAAATACACAAATGCTAACAAAAACTGATGAGCAAAAGGTTTTAAGTTAATTTACAATTTTGTGTTGGGCTGCATTGATAGCCATCCTGGGCTGCATGTGGCCCACATGCTGTGGGTTGGATATCCCTCTACCCACCTCCCCCCAGCAATCACTGCACTGTTGTCCATGTCAATGAGTCCTTTTTCCTTTGTACGTTGCTTAAATTTAGAATGTGGAATGAACCTTGTGATCCCAGGATAATACACACACCTATATGTGATGTATTATTCTTTTAACTTATTTTTAGGTTTGACTTGCTAATATTGTATTGAGGATTTTTGCAACTTCTCATGAGGAATATTGTTTATAATTTTCTTTTCTTGTCATATCTTTGCAGGGTTTTGGTATCCAAATAATGTTGGCTTTAGGAATTAGAGAATACTTCCTTCTCTTCTATTTTCTGGAAAAGGTTATGTAGAATTGGTATTATTTGTTCCTTAAATGTCTGGTGGAATTCATTGAGGAAGTCATTGAGAACTGGAGTTTTATTTTTGAAAGGTTTTAAAGTATGAATTAAATTTATTTAATAGATACAGGAATTGTCAGGCTATTTCTTCTTGAGTGAGGTATGCTAATTTCTATCATGTCTTTTCAAGGAAATGGTCTATTTTTCATGTAAGTTTTAGAATTTATGACAGTCATTTGCATCATTCTCTTATAATCCTTTAAATTTAATTTTGTTTAATTGTGGAGTCTGTAGTGATTTTTTTATTTCTATAGGTAATTTTTGATTTTGATCATTGTGCCTAGAGTTTTATCAAATTTATTGATGTTTGTAAAAGAATAGCATTTGGTTTCATTGATTTCTTTTCTAATCTTTTTTATTCCATCTTCTACTTTTTCTTTTTTTAAGTATATTTTATTGATTATGCTATTACAGTTGTCCCAATGTTTTTTTCCCTTTTATTCCCCTCCACCCTGTACCCTTCCCCACTCTCCAGCATTCCCTCTGCCCCTCTTAGCTCATGTCCATGGGTTGTACATATAAGTTCTTTAGCTTCTCCATTTCCTATACAATTCTTAACCTCCCCTGCCTATTTTGTGCCTACCTATTATGCTTCCCTTTTTCCTCCCATTCTCCCTTTCCCCCTCTCCACTGATAACCCTCCATGTGATCTCCATTTCTATGATTCTGTACCTGTTCTAGTTGTTTGCTTAATTTTTGTTTGTTTTTTAGGTTTAGTTGTGAGTTTGCTATCATTTTACTACTCATAGTTTTGATCTTCTTCTTTTTCTGATGTAAGTCCCTTTAAAATTTCATATACTAAGGGCTTGATGATGATGAACTCCTTTAATTTGACCTTATCTGGGAAGCGCTTTATCTACCCTTTCATGCTCAATGATAGCTTTGCTGGGTAGAGTCATTTTGGATGTAGGTCCTTGCTTTTCATGACTTTGAATACTTCTTTCCAGCCCCTCCTTGCCTGCAAGTTTCTTTTGAGAAATCAGCTGATAGCCTTATTGGAACCCATTTGTAGGTAACTCTCCTTTTCTCTTGCTGCTATTAAGATTCCCTCCTAATCTTTAATCGTGGGTAATGTGATTATGATGTGCCTTGGTTTGTGCTTCCTTGGGTACAACTTCTTTGGGACTCTCTGAATTTCCTGGATTTTCTGGACTTCTGTTTCCTCCCGAGACTGGGGAGACTGGGGAGTCCTCCTTCATTTTTTTTTCAAGTAAGTTTTCAATTTCTTGCTCTTTCTCTTCTCCTGCTGGCACCCCTATGATTTGGATTTTGGAGTGTTTAATGTTGTCCCAGAGGTTCCTAAGCCTCTCCTCATTTTTTTTTGAATTTTTGTTTCTTCATTCTGTTCTGGTTGGATATTTATTTCTTCCTTTTGTTCCAAATCATTTATTTGAGTCTGGATTTCCTTCCCTTTACTCTTGGTTCCCTGTACATTTTCCTTTATTCACTTTGGATAGCCTTCATTTCTTCCTTAATTTTGTGACCAAGCTCAATCAGTTCTGTGATCATCCTGATTACCAGTGTTTTGAACTCTGCATCAGATAGATTGTCTATCTCTTCATTGCTTAGTTCTTTTTTTGGAGTTTTGATCTGTTCTTTCATTTGGGCCATATTTCTTTGACTGGGTATACCTGTTATGTTGTAAGGGGCAGAGCTTCAGGTATTGGCCAGGGTGGGGCAACCTGCTTCACTGCTTTGTGGCGCTGGCAGTCTGGAGGAATGTTTCTTTAACTCCTTGGTTGTTAGACTTCCATGCAGTTTGATTTTCTGGCGGTTCTGATTTTATTTTGTTTTAAAATTGGTTGTTATCCTTCTTTTGGTTGTGTGAGGAAGTGAAGCCTCTCTTCCTATGCCTCCATCTTGGCCAGATCCTTAACTTTCTGTTTTTACCTTTTTGAAAATATTCCTGTATGATACATACAAGTAGTATCATACTCCTGCCTATAGAACTTACTTTATATTCCTCGCATTTAAGGTCTTCTGAAAATGAATTATTTCAACATTTATTTGTTTGAAAGTCTTTATTTTGCCTTTAATTTTTTTTTTTGATGTATAATTTCACTGCATGTGGGGTTTTGGATTGACAGTTCTTCTGTTAGTACTTTATGTAGATGTCACTCCAAAGCCTATTAGCTTACATGGTTTCTGAAGGATAATCTATAATTCTTATCATTTGTCTCTTTACATAATGTGTCACTTTCTCTGGCTGCTTTCATAGTTTTTGTCTTTGGTTTTTAGCAATTTAACTATGATGTGTCTATGGATGTATTTGTATGTGTGTATATTTAGTATTTGTTCTACATAGAATTCTCTGAGGTTCATGTGCCTATGATTTGGTGGGTTTCATTAGTTTTGGAAAATTCATGCCCATCATCTCTTCAAGTATTTCCTCAATTGTGTTTTTTCTTTCTTCTTCTGGAGCTCCAATTTCACATATGTTAGATCAGCTTAGTTCTTAGATGCTCTGTTTTATTTTTCCTTCTACTCTTTTATAAAGTTCTTTTTTAGCTTAGATCATTTCTATTTACTTATTTTCAAGTGTACTAATCTTTTCCGCACATTTTTTTTCAAGCCTTTTCATGAGCTCACTGAAGAAATTCTTCGTCTCTGATGGCATGTTTTATACTTTTAGAATATCCATTTGACTCTTACAGTTTCATCTTCCTGCTTTAATATCCCATCTGTCTATGCATATTGTCTGCCTTTTTCTATATATCTTTTACCTTAGTAATTTTAATTACTTAAAAATCTGTGATAATTTCATTATCCTTGTCATCTCTGAATCTAATTATGTTGGTTATTTTATCTGTTTACAATGGTATGTTTAATCGTTGTTATTTCCACCCGAGTCTCATGGTTTTGGATCGTATTTATATTTTAAAGTGGGCATGCCTTTTCTGTCTGACCATTAGTGTTGGGGATTAAATGACCAATCAAATCAGGAATTTAGATAGGTTTGGAATGGGAGTGATATTATTACTAAGCAGAACTAATTATAGTTTCAAAACATTTTCAACTTTCCTTATAAAAACAATGAAAGTAAAAGTTATATCACTATTTATTTTTAACTAGAGTAAGTAATACCTTTTACTAAGTATGTTTTTTTCTTATCCTTTCACTTTGTCTCGAAAGTGAATCTTTGTATTACTTTTATTTGCCTGGCTTTATTTTGTAGGATCCTAATATTTCACAGTGTTCTTATAGCCAACTAGTGTCCAGACTGTTGAACAGATTTAAACAGTTAGGGAGAGCACTCATCCAGTGTGTTTCCCTCTGGATTCTTAAGATTGCTCCAACTGATATTCTGTCTCAATGATTTGAGTTTCATAGGTTTTGGCTTCACTGTGTAAGTCAAATTAACTCCCTTTATTTTAAAATTAAACTGTTGAAAAATAATTTGGTAAATATTTTGGAGTGTATGATTGAAAATATATTGCAAATGACAGGTAGAAATTTTACAATTATATTCAAAGAAATACCTCCATAAACATGTATTAATTTGTCCTTAAATTAATATGTATATCAGAAGGCAAAGTTGGTTGCAGCACTTATGATGTTATTCCATTATCAGAAAATTAAATTTTCATTCTTTTCTCACTCTGTGAGAAAATGATTTCATATCATTTTTTTGATATGAAATTGTGTCTACAGCTTGTAGTGATAGTTATTTTTTTGAGACCATAAGGAAACCATTTTTTCTTATCTGTTTTCTTGGCAGAAAACTTCATCAGCAGTTTGAAATGTATAAGGAACAGGTAAAGAAGATGGGAGAAGAATCACAGCAACAGCAAGAACAGAAGGGTGATGCTCCAACGTGTGGTATCTGCCACAAAACAAAGTTTGCTGATGGATGTGGCCATAACTGTTCATATTGCCAAACAAAGTTCTGTGCACGTTGTGGAGGTCGAGTGTCATTACGCTCAAACAAGGTACAGAAATGAAAATCACACATAATAATTCTCTTAGAGTTAAGCTTATTGTGAGTAAAATGTAAAAGTCTCCTGAAATTAATATTCAGACTAACCAATAAACAAAAACTTTTTCTAGCATCTACATTTTAATTAAAAGAAATTTTTAGTTTTTTTCCTGTGGGTTAAAATGTATTTGATTCATTGCCTATGTCCATTAGCTTATGACTATTAGCTTATGCTTTTGTTTAGAATCACAGAATCTTGGACTCTCAAAGTTGATGAATAAAATTTAGAGACCAAATGGCCTAACTCCTTTATTTTACAGGTGCAGAAAACACAGATCCAGAGAGACTAAAGTACATTTTTAAAATTGCAGAACTGATTGATATTAGAGTTGTGACACAGCCTTTTCCATTACTATAAATAATTTTATAAACTTTGTAGATATACTTTTCCTTTGGCCCCTGTTTTATTTCCTTTTGAAAGATCTTCTTTTTAGCTTTGAGATTCTGTGTTCCATAATTTTAAAGCTCTTAAAGCTACATTACCTTTTATTTTTGTCTTAACATTAATGAAATAAACATGACACAATGGAATTTTAAGAAGAAATGTTAAGGAGGTGTTTCACATTTGTACTAGATTTTTGTAGTTCATCCATCCTCTTTAGAACAATGTTAAGCTACCTAAATAATGTTTGTTGAAATTAGCAAAAACAGTTTTTTAAAATGTTTGTCTCAACAAGTTCTGTAGAATTTGCTTTTATGTCCTCACTAGTATCTTATCGATCAGTCCTTAGATGGCTTTTCAATAGTAAGCTGATATCTTTACATATATGACTTAGGCATAATAGTCCTAACTTTGTTCCCTTGTGAGATTTCATCTCTCCATTTTCTTAATTGCGCCTCCTTCTCATTGTTTTGTCTCTTTCTATTGATTTTTCATCCTTGTTTACCTGATTATGTTTCCCACAGCACCCCCCACCCCCGCCCATGAGTTGTATTGGCTAGAAATGGCAGTACAATTCTGAATAGAGGTGGTAAGAACAGACATTCTGTCTTATTCTTGATCTTAGGGGAAAAGGCAGTCTTTCACTATTAAAAATTATGTTAGTCATCAGCTTTTTATAGGTGCCATATTCCTAATTTCTGAGAGTTTGTTTTTTTTTTTTTAAACACCAGGAGTAAATGTTGGATTTCCTCAAGTGCTTTTTCTTCATCTGGAGAGCTTAGGAATGTGTTTCATTCTTTCTTTGTTAATATGGTGAACTACATTGATGCATTTTGATCAACCAACTCTATTTTGGGGTTAAACCTTATTTGGTTATGATGAATGATCCCTTTTCTATATTAATAGGTTTGATTTGATCACAATTTGTTTACAATATTTGCTTCTGTTTTCATGAGGGTTAGTGTCTGTAGTTTTCTTGTTATGTCTTCTTTTGGTTTTGATATCAGGTAATGCTGGACTGATAGAATGAGTTGGGAAATAGTTCCTTCCCTTAATTGTTTAGAAGAATTTGTGTAGAATTAGTATTACTTATCCTTTAGTTTAGTTTGGTAAGCTTTACCAGTGAACCATTTAGGCATGCCATTTTATTTCTTGGGAGGTTTTAAAGTACATTTTCAGTTTTTTTAAAGATAAAGGATTATTCAGGTTATTATTTTTTCTTGAATTAGCTTTGGTAGTTTGTGTCTTTCAACGTTATTGTACAGTTCTTCATAAGCTGTCAAATTTATTGGTGTAAAACTTGTTCACAGTATAGCATTATTACTCTTTTAATTTCTGTAGGGTTGGTAGTGATTCCACCTCTTTCATTCCTGGTGTTGGTATTTTGATGTCCTTTCCCAGTCTGGTTAGATATTTATCAATTTTATTTATTTATCAAAGAACCAGCTTTTGGTTTTATTGATTTTTCTCTAATGTTGATTTCATCTTTGATCTTTATTCTTTTTTACATTGGGGTTAATTTTTTTTTTTTCTGATTTTTAAGCTGGAAGCTGAGGTCATTGCTTTGAGACTTCTTTTCTAATATTGGCATCATATGCTGTACTTTCTTTTAGATACTACTTCAGCAGCATTCCAAGAATTGTGTTGTCTTTTAATTTTCATCCATTTAAAATAATTTTAATTTTCTTCTGTGATCCATGGATAATTTATAATTATGTTATTTTCCAAATATTGTGGTTTTCCAGAGATCTTTCTGTTAATGATTTTTAATTTAACACCATTGTAGTCCCAGATTATGCTTTGTATGCCTTGAGTCTTTTGAAATATATTCATACTTATTTTCTGGCCCAGAATGTGAATTATTTTGGTAAATGTCCTACATGAAAAGAATATATATTCTACTATTTTTGGGCAGAGTGTTTTTAATTGTTCATTAGGTCAAGTTGGTTAATAGAGTTATTCAGATCTACAATATCCCTGTTGATATTTTTTCCTATTTATTCTACCCGTTATTATGAGAGGTATATTGAAATATATATCTATACTTGGATTTATCTGTTTCTTACAGTTCTATTAGCTTTTGTTTCATTTAATTTAAGATCTGTTTTTAGGTGTATAAACATTTGGGATTATTATATCCTCTTAATTAAATGACCACTTTGTCACTATTACGTGACTTTCTTTATTTCCAGTAATACTGTTTGTCTGAAATAGTAACTTTGCATTATATTAATGTAGCTTCTCCAACTTTGTATTGGGTAGTATTAACATGGTTTATATTTTTCTATTCTTTTACTTTAAATTTATTTGTGTCTTCATATCTAAAGCACTTTTTTTATAAACAGCATATAATTTAGTCTTGCTTTGTTATCCAGTTTGACAGTCTCTGCTTTTTAGTTGGTATGTTTAGACATGTACATTTAATGTGAATATTGACACGATTATGTTTTATTATAACATTTCCTTTTTTTCTTACTTGTACCCTCTGATTTTTAGACTGAAAAATGGATTTCAAGCCCAGTGAAATTTGATCATGCTATTCTAATAAAGTAAAATAATAAGAATACAAATGTTTTATGGCTTAAAATTTAATTATAAAACTATTTAAAAATTAGGTTAGTAACCTTTTAAGAATCAAGATAAAATAATCTTTTGTTTTAATTTTGAGGTTCTTAGATGTGGAGCCATCTTTAAAAATTATTTAATTCTCTTGAGTACATTTAGAATAAATGAAGTAAAGGATGTATAGAAATTCCAATACAAGATTATATGAAATATTGCTTACATTAATTTCCTTTTAAGATGATATCCCCTTAATAAAAGCTATATATTTAGTCAAATTTGAAAAAATGATGACTTTATAACAGTATACAGGTAAAAAATTGGACATTTTCCAGGAAAAGGATGGCATTGTTTGAGAAAATTCGGAGAACCAAGTTTAGTTCCTGCCCTGGTATTGTGTGACATTTGTTTGATGTGCTACATCATGTCTTAGTGCTTCTGTGTTAAAATCTATAAAATGAAAGCATCATTCTAACTGATTTGTAAGGGTTTTTTGGGGGTTGGTTTAACATTTTATGATTTTGAAGTTAATACTAGATTACTTATGAAACTCTTGAAGTACCTGATAGCCAAATATTCTACCACTTAAGCAATTTTTAAAAAGAAATTGAAAAAATTCATTAATTCTCTGAAGTTACTGTGTCTAGCATATTGTGTGTTAAGCTTTGGTTCAATTTCCCTTCATATATACATACATATACATACATATCATAATATATATCATATGATATATATGTTTATATACATATACATATATATCATAAGAATGTTGAGGGCACCACTATATTAGAAAACTGTATTTATAGGAATTTGAGGAATAAGTAAAGCATGAAAACTTATCAGAATTATATAATCTACAGGACCCATTGTTAAGTAAATGGTTTCATTGGGTGAATTCTCAATTTCAGGCCTTTAAACTGAATAACCTAGAATGTATGAGAATATTTTTAGAAAAGAATTGTAGAATTTAAGACGAAGAAAGAAAGAATTGTTTCCTCTTATTATAGAACCCCAACCTATGCTGTTCTGGAACAGCTGTGGGGTCCGATTGCCTGCTGCCAAGAAGCGTGACTCCTAGTGTAAGAGTTTGGTGAAAGAGGGTTTTTTTAAAGGTTATACAGATTCAGAATAATGGTGGATTTCTGTTGTTAAGTCCCACTCCTTTTAAAACACCCCAGAACACATAATCCTGACCTCCTTTGCCAACCCAAACCAATTTCAGAATATGCCAGTCATAGGTACTGTCTTGTCTCTCAAAAAAAGCAGAAGTCTGCAGCTCAGCATTCCTGGTCACAGTTTAGCATTCCAAGCATCTGCCACTAATCCATGCTTGGTTAGGTAGGTTCCCACACTTTCCACTTCCATCAGCTGTGCTGCCGTGTTCTCCAGGCAGGTTTCCCAGTTGGGCCTCTTACTTTTACTCCAGATCTTAATCCAAAACTGCGTGGCACCTCCTTACTCCAAACTGTGTGGCACCTCCTTTCACACCAGACCTCATGGCGGATGGGATGGGGCAGGGCGGGGGCCTTCTACTTCCTTTCAAACCACATGGCTCCCTCCTTCATGGCTGTCTCATGGCTCCCTCCTTCATGGCTGGCCCGGGTGCTTCCTATGTAACCTCATACTCAGCACTATCAGTTCTGAAAGTCACGTAGACCTCTTACCCGAGTGACTTCACAGCTTACCTTCAGGAAAGACAAGGCTATCACCTTGCCATTGTTATGAAAAGTATCTTAAGCCATTATCATCCACTTCTCCCCTTCCCCCAACCGTGGCCTCTGGGGAAGTCTGTGCTATATGGGGGGTCCCTTTTGCTTTGCACCCTGTTTCACTCTCACTGATGTCAACCTCACTAATAGTGCAGAATAAATAGTGTAGTGACTCTGAGAAAGAGCACACTTGCAGAATCTTAGGGGATTTTATACTCCTAATGAATATTAGCATTGTGGAAAGAGGCACAATAATATCAAACTGAGCAGAAAGGAACACATTTTCACTGTGTAAACTTG